ACACAACTGACATTCGCATATGCTCCATTTATGTCCAATCCAAATGGTCCCGAATGGCGGTCTCTTCCTGTGTTTATTTATACCACAAAATCCCCACTGACTTCAACTCCAACCAACAAAGCCTTTTTTTTCTTTTTTTTCCGCCTCCTGACTCCCAAAAGTCAAACATGTGCTTGGGAATGAGTTTTTCAAAAACAGCAACTTTCTTTAAATCAAGGAAATAAACGAGGACGTTTTACTGAGCAGAGCTCTCCATAAAGCCTGTCTGGCTTTAACACAAAAGAGAAACTTCAAGTGTGTTCTCCTTGTAAAAACACGAGGGCCCGGATCAGAGCAGAACTCTGTTAGATGGTCAGCTCTGGTGAAAGAATTTACACATTCCCCAGACCCACAACATAAAGCACATTGTATGTAAATGTCACTGTTTTGAAGATTTGCATCTGTTTGCATGACAGGAAGGCCCAAATCAAATTAGAAGCAGAAGAATTGGCCGAGCAGATTGCGTTGTGCCTGCGGTCGGTCGGGGTTTGACTTCAGGGACTTCGCTCTGGATTTGCATGCTTTGACTGTGAGGCACCGAGGAGAAGGAAAGAAGGAAAGACGGCGAGCACGCAGACAGAGACGTAGCCGGGCCGACAGAAATACACCGGACAACATGGGAGCAGTGGAAAAGAAACATGTCCAACATTTACATATGTTCTTCCCATTTCCCCTTATTAGGAGCTCAAAGAAAGGTCGCTGCCCGGCACAGCTGCACATGAAACGGAGTGGCAGCAGAGCTGGACTTTGACAAAGGAAGGCTATTTGTAGGATTCCCATAAATCTCTGGCAGCAGCTACAGTACTGGACATCACGCCTGAGTTTATATAGTTCCTGTTTTTTTATTTTTCTCTTTCTCTTGCTGTTGTACTTTTTCCCTTTCACTCCGACTTCCCTGTTATTAGCACACAGGAGGAGCAACAACATGGCCTTAAGTTAACCTTTGCTGTCAGGAAGGACCTCTAACGCAATTCTTTCCACATGTGTGACCGCTAACGTTGACCATTTGCTTTCTTGTCAAGTGTGACATGAGGACCGCTCCCATGTTGGTCGCTAGTTATGTTAGAGGGAGCAGCTGGTTAGCTTAGCTTAGCATCCATCCATTAGCTATACACCGCTTAATCCTCACTAGGGTCGCGGGGGGGCTGGAATCTATCCCAGCAACAGGGGCTACACTTAGAACCAAGCACATTCACACCTACGGACAATTTAGAATCACCAATTAACCTCAACATGTTTCTGGACTGTGTGGGAGGAAGAACCCGGAGAGAACCCACACTGCACGGGGAGAACACACAGAAAGATCCCGGGTGTCCTCACTGGGACACAAACCGAGGCGACGGTGCTAACCACTGAGCCACCTTGCAGCCGTTAGCTTAGCATAAAGATTGTAAACAGAAGAACAAGAGGCAGATCCTGTTACTTAAATCATTAGACATGGTTGGGAACCTACTGTGCAAACTACTACAGCAGAACACAGTTAGTGCTCAAGGCTAAAAGATGACTTCATTAGCAAGCTTCAGAAGAACCGGTTGCAGAGTCAGTTTAGCTGTTTCTGCTCTTTATGCAAATAAAATCTAAAGAGCTACAAGCGCTTTGTGGTAAATGTCTATTTCTGACTTTTTCAATCATCTGCAATTTTTGTTTGTTTGTTTTTTTAGGTCAAGTTTCTGTTTATTCTTCATTGTACAACACGTTTAACGGAGCGATACCACATGAGACACAAGCAAAAGTGTGACTGGGGACAATGTGAACTTGCAAAACCGCTGATGCAGCGCTCTGAGGGTGGGACGCGTTGCAAAATGCATGTGTGGCTATTATATGAAGAGAGCCCACAGCGTGCATGTCTGATAAACAGGCAGCATAAGGTTTCAGAAAATTAAATAAAATGGAATTAAAGCATGATTTAATAGCAACACTTCCTATGTCCTAGTTTGCAGCGTTTGTGATTTGAGCGGCAAGAAAACGAGAATACATCTGGTGACTGAGAGCAAACCTCGACTCTGCATACAGTCCAAAAAGCATCGGTGGACTGTTTCACTCAGAGAGGTGTGAACACTTTCTATTGTGTTTGCGGAATGACATTAAGCGGGTGGCTGTGTGCGCTGCGCGAGGTGAGACTCTCGTTTTAAGGTGTGATCCTGCACCATGTGGCTCTGTGGTAACCTTAAGAGCAGAGAAACGCAACAGGTCTCGGTGTGTGTGATAAAGTGTGTGTGTGAGCTGAACTGGTTTGGTTAAAGCAGCGAAAGAAAAAAAAAAAAAGAAGTCAGCCAGATACTTGAAGATTATTTCCTCCAAACATATCATCAGTCAAGTGAAGTAGACGACACACAAGCAGCAGTAAATCCAGAGAGCGCTATCATGTCTGCAGCAGAACTGACTGACTTCCTTTCTGCGAGCACATTAACGTCACAGGAAAAATCACCTCCAGCATGTTGGAAGCACACCGAAACCCCCTCCCCCCGAGGCAGAGGGACGACTGGGTGGGTCCGGACTGGTCACTCTGTGCTAAAAGCTTGTGGCCTGAGGGAGGATGGAGCAGCTCCCCACTGTGGGAAAAAAAAGGAGGCAGAGCCGAGAGTCTTGCTGTCATGTCTTTGTGTGTTAACTAATCAGAGGCAGCACACTGAGCGTCACCGCGGGGGGTTAACTAACTGCCCCCGAGCTGACAGGGGCAGCTTCAACCTGGCTATCCCATGGGTGGGCAGGAGAGGAGATGAGTCAGGGGGGTAACACCCTCATCTACCACCAACTGGAAATCACTTAAAGTGGTCAAAACTGTGACCTCAGATTAGCAGGTGGGCTGAGGGGAGCCGCTCGAGCTAAAATAGCCTGTTGAGAAAAGAGCTATTTATAGAGTGTAAGAGCAGGCAACAAAAGACCACCAGGCCTCTTGATTAAATCACATCTGCAGACAAATGTTTGGTAAAATCTCTCATTAGCGCTGGGTGTGGAAATGAGTAAGTTGCCAATTATGCACGCTGAGTGTTGGCTGCACGTCACCGAGGAGTCACCGCCTGGCTGCTCCGTGTGTCAGATCCGACCGGTGACTTCATCTGTGTTTTTCTCAAGGATATCCCTCTCCTTTCTAGGCACAATGAGGCAGCATCCTGTTTAGAGAAGGTCCAGTCCAGCGCTCTGCTCGCCCGCCCGCCCCGGCCTTACGCAATTTCCCTGTTGTTTCTGCTGGAGTCCCTGCAGGGATGTGCAGCGACGGCTTTACAGAAAACGACCAGGGCTTTCACCGAAACAGCTCAGATGTGTTCCTACTATTGTGAACTGTCAATACCCATCGCCGAGTGCTTCCTCAAAGGGAATCATTGCATTTGTTGGGTTTTTCCCTATGATACAATAAAGTGAAGTGTTCATCTGTGGACGCCCTGAAATGAGTGAAGTTGTGAAATGACTTGAATATGGGTGAAAGTGTCGAGTTTTATATAAATAAATATGAACTTTACATTTGTGATGACTCTGCTGAAAGGTACCTTTAGTCTTACACTCAGTTGGGCCACATCCGGGTGACACAAACTCAGAAGCAGTAAACAATCCTTTTCTCTGATTTTATCCAATCAACAACTCAAAGGCCAACAGTTTACCCTTATTTGAAACAGAAACTAGTTTTCATCTACATTTTTATGCACTTTATCTGAAAAACTGAGTCAAAATGCATAAAAATCTGCTATTTTTTTTGGCATTTTTCTATAAATTCATTTGAAATTTGCACTAAATTCAGAAAATCAGCATTTTAAAGTTTAAACCCGCTTTGCTGTTTTCCGCCTCTAAACAAAACGACTTATCTGAAACGGTTTCTGTCATCTGGAATCAACAAATCATTTCAGGAAACGCTCATGAATAGCAGCTCATGCAGTGGAGACAGAATGATCGGTATCTCTCCAGCTGTGTTTGCTGTGGTGATAGCGAAGCTGAGGAGACACAGAGGGAGAATACATGCGTTTAATCTCAGTCTGGGAAAACGTCACCGCGTTAACTTCTTTAGTGTGTCTCACAATTCAAATGCAAAGTAATTTAGAAGGTAAGGTATTAGTAATCCAGAGCTTTAAAGTCTCCCTATATTCAAATAACGTGTTTTGGTTTTTGTTTGGCGCGAAGGATTTGATAGGAAATGCAAGAAATCACAACTAGTTTCGAAGCACAAACACCAAAAGCTGATTTTTTTTAGTAACATAGCAGACGTCTTCGTTAAATTTTAAAATGTAAAATATATGTTTTATTGTGAAAATATGTGATTTTAGGACCTTTAAGTAGCTGCTTTGTTCATTTATTTAATGGAAGAAAAAACAACAATATATCAGACAAATTAGCATTCAAAGCAGATTCATGTTTAGATGTTAAAACACGCCTGGAAGGGATCATTAAGAATGAAATAGAGCTCTATAAATTGCATGTTTGACCAGAAAAAAAACAAAAAAAAAAAAAACAGTTTTGATGTGTGAGCTGAAAGATAATTACAGATGAAGCCAATCTGAGTTATTTTCTGAAATCTGGGGTTTCTGGACTGAGAAGCAGACCCAGCTGCAGCACTCTCACAAATGACTGTTTTTCTACTGACAAATTAACTTGCGGGTTTTTGAGGGTACTCTTCAGTGTGATGTTTCTCTTTTATTAACTGTGGGAAAGAGAGAGAGAGTGAAAGAGAGAGAGCGAGAGATTTCCACATAATCTGACAAACCTGAAGAGCAGCTCAGTCATAATTATACTTCATGTAGCATTCTGAATACAAATGGACGTGGAGGATAAAGGCACTTGGCAGCTTTGTACAGCAGCCTGAGGGCAAACTGATTAAGGTGAAATCTCACTTTCTTCCTCTTCTGCGCTGCGAACAGAAACACATGATCTGTCATCGAGCTCCAATTTATCCCAAGGGCAAGTAAGAAGGAGAAGGAAGAAAAAAAAAAGAAAAGAAAAAAACACTCAAGAGGTCACAAGGAAGGAGGGAGAAAACTCGTTGTAGGGCACAAACGCTTTAGACCAGCCCTCAGCATGTTCAGTCCTGCCCTCCGCTGTTCCCACATCACACTCGCGTGTGGCTGTGGTGCGCAGTGATCGACAGTCTGAGTCTGCGTCCTCTCCTCCGGCCGTGGAACCGTTTCGAGCAGAGTTTCAGTGGATATTTAAAAGTATTTACAGGTGGGTGAAAAGGTTCTTTAAAGTTGCGTTTTTTTTTTCTTTTTTGCCTCGATCGTGCGTAAAGTGCGTCCGTCCTGCTCGCCAAAGTTTTTGGATCGGATCGTTTTTTTTTAAAACCCGTGTTGTATCTGTAAGCTAGAATGTGAATAATTCTGATTTCGCTCTGTATTTAGAGCTCTTACTGTGCACATGCCAATTAAAACTGGATTTATTTGTCTAAAAAATTAATCAATACCAATTATTTGTAGGAATTCCATGTTTGGATACTTAATGCGTCTTTACGCACACAAACGCCAATTTACGCACAGCTGTTACAGAAATGTGTAGGCTGTAGGCTGCGAGTCAGTTCCAAGTTTTTGTGTAGTAATGTATTAAAATGTTGTTTTAAATCTTAACCAGCAGGAAAACTGAGGGAAATAATCCGTTTCTCACTCCTTCTATTCAAGCTTTGCTCCGTTGGATTTGATTGATGTTGTTAATTTTCTGCTTTGGTGACTCATTAGTCACAGTCACCGGTTCTATTATGTGTAATCATTTTAAAGCAATTTTTCACATCGGAAAAACTTTTTAAAAACTTGATTTATTAACCCATTTCCTTTCCATCATTGTTTACTCCTAGTGTTTATTTTTGGTCACTAACATAAACTTTCTGCTTCTCTTGTTGAATCCAGGCTGGTTCTCACTGCCTCCTAGTGCGCATCCCCGGCACTGAAAAGAAAAAGGATTTCTGGAGGAAAATTCTCAAACTTGACAGCACTAAAAGGAACACTTCCACCTCTTGCTACACAAGTTTTGAAGAAAGAATGCCCAACCAGAGGACTATATGACACCCTGTCAGTGGATCTTATTTTAAAATCAGAAAAGGCGAAAAAAAAAAAGAAACTCTGGGAAGAACCACCGATGGCCACTGAGTCTTCCCATGCTGCCTATGCTGCTGTAGCCCCCTCTGCCAACCCAATGTCTCCCTCCACAGGAATGCTTCGGATGTTTCGTGAGTACCAGAGCAACGCAGTCATTATAGAGCACTATAACTACACCGGCAAGCTGAAAGAGAGCAAGTACACGGAGGGAATCAAACCGGAGGCCATAGCCTTCTTGCTCGTGTGTCTGCTTATTGTTGCTGAAAATGCTGTCGTGCTTCTGGCCATCTGGAAGAATAAGAAATTCCATATGCCCATGTACTATTTACTGGGCAATCTGACTCTCTCTGACCTGCTGGCAGGTTTCACTTACATGGTAAACCTCATGACGTCCGGTGCCAACACGTTAAGCATGACCCCGGTGCTGTACTTCTTGAGGGAGGGGGGTGTGTTCATCATGCTGGCTGCCTCTGTCATCAGCCTGCTGGCCATCGCCATAGAGCGCCATGTCACCATGGTGAGGATGAAGCCGTACCAGGGGGACAAACAAGGCCGGATGTTTGCTCTGATCGGAGCGAGCTGGGTTCTGTCTGTGTTCCTGGGCGTCCTGCCTGTCCTGGGCTGGAACTGTATGGGCCGGCTGGAGCAGTGCTCCACCGTCCTGCCGCTCTACGCCAAGAGTTACATCCTCTTCTGCATCACCATCTTCAGCGCCATCCTCATGTCCATCGTCGTGCTGTACGTCCGCATCTTCCGCATCGTCAAGTCCAACACGCAGCGCCTCGCAACGGTCCCGCAGCGGAAAGGCCTTTACCGGAAGTCCCAGAAGTACATGGCCCTGCTGAAGACGGTCACCATCGTCCTGGGAGTCTTCATCGCCTGTTGGCTGCCCCTCTTCATCCTCCTGCTGCTGGACTTCTTCTGTCAGGCCAAGTCCTGCGACGTGCTCAAGAAGGCGGACTATTTCCTGGGCATCGCCATGTTCAACTCCCTTCTGAACCCCATCATCTACACTCTGACCAGCAAGGACATGAGGAGGGCCATCCTCAGGCTGCTCTGCCGCCACTGTCTCCTGACAAAAGACGGACAAGTGAAGAAGATCGGGATGCCCTTCCTGGAGTGCAGCACCAGCAAGACGGACGCGGCCTCTCACAGACTGGAGGGACTGGAGACGACGGTGTCCTCCGGTAACTTCACGCCCACCATCAAATCCATTTACCCCCGGATGTCTAAAACATGACACAGCGGCTGATTGTGACTGAGAGGAAGCATTCAGACTGGTCCAGTGCTTTTCTCTTTAACTGAACTGCATTATCAAGCAGATATGGAGCTGAAGTTCTGTGTTGCACTCAGACGTCCAACATGGGAGAAAGACTTTATAGGTTAAGCATTCACTTGTTTTAAAAATTTCTGTGAATCTTTCCTGTAAAACCAAAATATTAACGCCAGAACAGTAGCTGAAGGTTTCCTGTGAAAAATTAGCATTACAGTTACGACTCTTAAAGGCCAGTATTTGTCAGAAGATGTTCCTTCCGGAGAGAGAAAAAAATCTTATCAGTGTTTGTAGAGGAATCAAAGACTGTGTGCAGATGTTTCCCATAAATACATCGTCTGATAAAAAGGGGGGCTAAAGCTAAACATGAGAGTCATCCTTATCTCCTCTGCCTGTGTAGCGTATATAATGACATGTTGTCACAAACACAGAGCATCCACACCCAGAATCTGCTGCCAAAACCATGTAATTTCTGCCATGTGAGTTTTGGTCAGCAGTGAGTAGAGGTCCCCCCCCCACCACCGCTCGACCGACATCAGAGGCTCGGAGACACACCAGAGACGTCATACTGGGTGGTTTGCAGCTTTGGAGGTCCCTTCTCGACATATGTAGCGACACATGATGAATGCCTAAAAGCAATAAAAGCTGACAGTGGAGGCTTGTTGACGCCTCCTCGGTTTTAACAGACCGGGAATATCGCAGCGAAATTACAGCCTGCGTGCACCGACGACGGCCTTTAGAACTTTCTCTTTGGAGTGAGCTCATCTTGATACCGTGAAATGATACTAATCTGTTCTCCTCGTGAGTTTCTCACCGACCCCGGAACAACTTGTATTGTGAGATTAAAAAAAAAAAAAAAAAAAGCTTTCTTAATATTGTACAAAAATGTAAAGAGGAAATAATTATATTTGCTGATTTTTGTTTTTGTGTAAATATCTATACACTCCGTGAGCTGCATTTTTGTTGTTGTTGTTGTAAAATCCTCACTTAAGTTATGACGCCAGTTTTATATGTGCACTGAATAAAGAGATGTGAATGATTTTTACTCGGAGGTTCTGTGTGTTCTTTGCTCCTCGCGGCTGCCTCATAGTTTGTCTTCGGTGAACAACATCCATGTGGTTCCTCGTTGTAAATCTACAACAGAGATAACACTTGCTATGCACAGTGGACACCTGATGTACAAAATACAGCATTTTTAAAGCTCTGCTGACTTCAGTAACATGAGGAGGATGTGAAGGTGGAGACAGAGGGGAGGATAGTGAGCAACAAGTGGGCTGACAGCAACTATCTGCACGCCGGAGTCAAAGATGTAAGTTGTCTGAGCTCTGACCTGATTCTGAGCTTAAGTTTGGCTTAAATTGGCTGCTTTGCTAAGAGGTTGCTGCAACTTTAAATGTCTCCCTGTCTGTTTTTGTGTTTTAAAAATGGGCCTTGAGGGTTATTATGCCGCCCCAGTGCATGGGTAAGTTATTGACAGACTTTCTTCCACATATTTGGAGGCAAAAATGTGTACAATATCTTTTTTTTGTTGGGGCTTGAGGTTTTGACTCAACACAGTGACGACAAATTCAATATAACACCATCACTTTCTAAAGCTGATGATTAATTAGTAAGAAAACTACATAAATTGACAAAGCATTAAAAGAAAAGGGCTTCAGTCAAACCAAAGCAACCTCTAAGTTATTATTAAGCCCAAACTGGGGCACCGAATGCCAAACGTGTGAAGCGACATCAAGCTAAAGTGACAAAACCCCACCCCCACGTAAGCCACTTGCTAAAACCGCCTCGCCTGGTAGATGAAGCTGCAGAAACGAGCTCGTGCCCTCAGCGCTCTGCTTACCGTAAGGAAACCACACGCCGGTACGTGTGAATATCAGCCTCCCCGACTCATCTCGTCATCCAGCCCACTCTAAACCGCTCGCCACGGCTGCAGCGGGCGTCTTTTCAAAGAAGAGAGAAGGTTCCACATTCTCACACGGCGGTCCTGTGGGTAAATAATGCCAGCCACAGCACCATACGTGTGTTTATGAGAATCGGGTTCTCGTTACTGACAGAGTATTTTTGAACCTTTTGCTCACTCACCACTATCATTTCTGAATTTTGGCGAATGAGATCCTGATTTAGCTGTTTCATGTTTCACATACAGACACCTTAGTCATGCTTGCAGAGCCTAAACCTGCGATTAAACTTGACTAAAAGTTAGTTTTAAGTCGATTAAACTTCCAAAAACCAGCAAAATGAAAATCGAACGGTGTCACCGCAGCTTGCAGGAGACAGATAGGGGTAAAGACAACCATCTGAAATTTGTAAATTAACAAATAAACAGGCTAAATATTAATTAATAAACACGTAAAATCATTAGGGGACAGTTTGGATGGTAAAAGTTGTGCACATGGAAAAGCCAAAGCTAAACACTGATAGTGTGTTTTTATGTGTTATAACTGTAGAGCCATTTGCTTTAGTGTGATTAATAGAGTTCAAACACCCGGTTTCATATCAGTAAATGACATTTTAAGTGGTGCAGGTGATGCTGAAGGCAAACTCAACTCCTGGGAACCGCAGAACATCAAACCGTCCCGCCTACAGCTTCTAAATCTTTCAGCAGTATCTTGTGTTTTCATGTTTCTCAGGAAAAACTGTGAGCAATGTCTCATCTCATTTTGTTTTTATAGCTTTTATAAAAACATACAACAAACAGCTCTACAGCGACACCTAGTGGCCGATCCGCCCCACAGCTTCGTAACTTGCAAAATCCTCAGATGAGTCCAAACATGCTGCTGAAACACAACATAGAAAAAAGCACTGACCCAAAATAAAGTGTTACTTTTTAATTTTAAAAACAGTATAAATGTTAAACAACATAAAAAAAACAACACACACATCCACAAACAAACAGAAACACACGACTACACGTCTCTTCCTTCGTCTACCACTCGGTGCTGACGAAGCCCCACAGCTGGTCGCTGACGTCGCTGCGAGATCGTGCAGATGTGTCGATGTTGATGGGGGTCGCCAGGTCGGCGCCGTAGTGAACTGCAAGAGGAGAAACCAAACGGACAACCTGAAGCCTCACACAGTAACATGTGCATCGGCAAGATACCGGGGAGGTTAGAACAGCAAAAAGTTGAGTCAGTACCAGGGTCACGGAAATTCTGCAAGTCACAAAGTCAAATATGATATTAAAACAATCAAATTAATGTATTTTAACTGAATTTATTTAGCATTGGTGTGACTATTTTCTTTAATCATCCCCAGATTAAATTAATCAATTTAAAAATGTGCTGCATCAAGTAAAAACCTTCAATCAACACTGAAGAACAAATGGGGAAAGGTTCTCTTTTGATAAAATGGATGGAAAACGTTCCAAATATCAGCTATTAAACTCAATAATAACGAATAATCAGCATCGTCCCACTAATTAAATTTAACGAAATTCTGCTCATATATCAGAACACACACATTCTGACAGGCTGAACAGAAACAACCAGAACCTACTGCTGCTATCGGCTCATTACGAGCTACATTAAACAAGCTAACATTAGCTTTTGTGAACGCTGCATGTGGAGCGAAGCTTCAACAATGTGTTGTTAATATAAAGTAACAGCTGAGGTTGTCTCACCTTCAGAACCAGAACCAGATGTCTGTCTTGGAGCTACTTACTGGAGTTCGTGGTGTTCTTTCGTCCTTTCGTTCGTGCTGTGTGGCACCGTTTGGTCTAAAAGTTGTGTCTGATCGTTGGCTAAATATCTCCACATGTGACTTCTGATGTGTTTTTGTTTTCCCAGAAGTCACAGCACACCATGTTGTTATCGGATCAACAATGCTTCACAGAAAAAGAAGTGCAGCGACACTTCAACCTGGTACCGAAGCATCTTTCTTTTTCTTTTTTTAATATCACATCTTTTAGAAAACTAATGCATACGTGTTTTTAAATGTGTTGAAGTTTCTCGTCATATCTTTGGACTTCTGATCTCATTTTGAGAATACGTTTGCGTTCTAGTTTCATCTGAGGATTCACCAAAAGGTTCACAAGACAAAACAAACACCCGTACCTCCTTTTAAGACGCCGGGCTGTGTGTCGTACTCCCACTTGATCTTGGTGATCAGGTAGTACACCTGGGCCACGTACCTGTTGAGAGAAGATATGATTAAAAAACAAGATGATGTCTCAGCCTACATACAGCTCCTACAGGTATTTAATTACTCAAACATCAAGCATGTCAAGACACAAAGGTCTGGGTGACCTGGAACTTTCTACTGTTAAGTTTAAACCAAACGGAAGTTATTATTAATAAACGCCTCAGAAACACACGATCCAACCAGACAGTTACTCTGGATTACATTTCCTCGGCCTCCAGTCCTGCTTGCAGGAGGTATTTTTAACCGGACAAATTCAACTCATGCTGTATGCAGACACAACAAGACGGCATATATTCACCTGCGCAACATCGTCATCATCACACATAGCCACAAAAGACCCTAACGAACCCCACTGTGTCAGGGGGAGCACGAACGACTTGCATACCGAGGGGGAGGAGCAACAAACCCCCAACTGAAACCGAAACTCAGGTGTTAACGGCTCCTTAAGGACATCTAGATCTCCCAACTAGTCAGTCAGAGCTGATGAAGCCTCTTGGATGAGAGGTGGAACGTCTTCAAGGAACTCAAGCAGCTGCTACGATTAATCTACGAGAACAACCATGACCTGGAGGATCTTCACAGACGATATCATCAAAATGAGTAACGTCACTGAGTCATTCTGGAAAACTACTGCATGTATTTGATCCCTCCACGTGGAACTAGTGTAATTTCTTATTATCAGGACGTCCAAATAACTCTCTAAAGAACCTCCAGCTGATCCAAAAGGCTGCAGAAGAGCACAGACAGGAACCAGCACATTTCTCTTCACTCACATTTAAAGCTCTTCTCCTCACATACAAAGCTCAAGTTCCAAAGAATCTAAAAGACTTCATTGTTCCACGTTATCCCAACAGAGCACTTTGCTTTCAGAATACAGGAACCCATGTTGCAGCATAAATGTATAACTAACACAAGTAAGATGTGCAATAAAGTCAGAATGAACAAAACTCAACCAACTAATGCAGAGTGATGACATGCTACTCACACAGCTGAAGGGATGACCTCAGTGGTGACCTCATCCAGCTCGCTCTGAAGAGTCGTGAGCTCGTGCTCGGCATGTCTCAGACTCTCCATCTCCCTCTGGAGGAACCTGGACAAAGGTTAAGGATGCTAACAGAGGAGAGGAAAAACGCAGCACAGCAGATTAAAAAAAACACACTGACTTGCTTTTTCCTTGACAAACACAGACATATGAAAGATACTGTAGTTCTGAGTCAGTGATCTGGCTTTTGGCAGTGCACTGCCTCAGCTGCTCCTCCAAGCTGTCCAGCTCCTGGTCCTTCTGCTTCTTCTTCTCCTCCATGTCCAGCAGCCTCTGGCCGACGCTCTCCTCAATCTGAGCCACATCTGGGGACAAAAGAAGAACACTGAAGATTAGATCACAGTGACTAGATCTCAGTTTAAAGTCCTGCCTTCTGAAAAAAATCTATGCTGAATGTAATGTAGCTAAACAGCAGATTACATGACTTGCAAAACCCGGAGAGAACCCACGCTGCATGGGGAGAACATGGAGACTCCACGCAGAAAGATCCCGGGTGTCCTCACCCGGTGCTAACCACCGAACCCCGGACAGTCCAAAGGAGAAAAATGACAATTCAAAGTCTAATTAATTACCTTTTAAAATCTGCGTCACAACTTTCGTCGTTTCTGCGTGTTGATCTAAAAGCGCCTGACGTTCGTCCTTCACTCGTCTCAGCTGGTCCGGCTGACTGCTGTTGATGAAGGCCACCAGCGCCTCCCCCGTCTCCTCCAGGTCTTGGAACTTGTGACCTTGAGCCATTGTGGTGATGCTGGCAGTTAAAAGGAAATATTTTCATCAGGTCATCAAAGCTAGTTGAGCTGTGACAATTAACAATGAAACTGCAGGAAAAAAAAATCCAAAAATAGCCTCAAAATGCTGCACTTATTGTAAGGCAGGCAAGAAAAAAAAACTAAATATACACAAAATACTAAAAAAAAAAAACAAACAGGATGACAACTTTTAAGATCTAATTCTAAAATAAAATCATGTAAAATCCTTAAATTTTAGAGCCTCTTTCTCCAGTGATGGGAGAAATAATCAGAGGAATTATTTGAGTAGGACGTCAGTGTAAAAAATACTCTATAATAAGCAAAGTTCTACGAGTTTTATATCATCAAGTGAAAAAAAATACCATTAGGTCTCATGATAAATGCTGAAAAGTGTAGGAAAAACCTGAAACTTATTTTATATTTATCTTCCCTTTAGGTTCATTGAGATTATTTATCTATAATATAATAAAAAATAATAATCATACATATTATAGACCTTGATCTATCATCTCAAATCTCACTTTTTCACTTGATTTCTCTTGAAAACATCTACACGTAATAACTGATGCACTTTTTTCATGCTCGTTTTGTTATAATCATACAACCAAAGAGGTCAACTTTCAAATACAATATTGAAAAAAAATGAAAAATACTGAATCCAAGTTCTGTCTTTGCTTTTCCTGCTTAAACGCTGCTATTTTCTTTTTGTTAAACTGTCAAAAAAATCTGAAAATAAGGGGCTGCTCGGGCCATGTAGGCGGATCAGAGACATTTTTATTATTTTATTTTTTAATTTTGAGAAGCTTTGCTGCATTTTATCATCAGTTTGTGGAGAAGAACAACAACAACAGCGTCCTGGCAAATACCTTAAAGCTGTGCTTGACTAGCTTATTTTAGAAAATGTATATTACTTCACAACATTGCTGAATGTTTAATAGAATAGTCAGATAAAGACAGACAAGTTCTACATCAACCAAAATACGAAAATAAAACGCCTCTCTGTGTTTTGTTGTGTAGCTAACCGTTAGCTAAGCAGCGAGCTAATGTACAGGAAACAGACGCGGACGTACCAAGCGGAGATTTAAACAATATTGTCGACTCAATGTTTGTCGAGTAAATAAAGAAAATAAGTATGTTTTTAGTCATATCTGAGCAGAAAACACATACCGGACAGTTTCTCTTCCGCGATTCAAATCCAGCACCGCAGCGCGCCCCTTTTGTTTTCTTCTTCGTTGGTGGTTGGCGGACTCTGAGCGGCTGGTTGTGTCGGTACCGCCCCCTGCTGCTCAGGAGCGGAGGGACGCAATGTCAGTAACACGGTAGATGTTGTTTTTGGAGGTCTTCCTGTCCCGGAATAATCCTTTCAGTCTTTTGTATGACATTTACGGCACTATAAAATTGTTGGACTTCTTCTTCTGGTTGACAAAAGGACAAACTTAACAGACAACACTTCATTTCTGCAGGATCCAGAAATCTGACAGCGGAGTTTCATTACATGGAGGCGTCTTCAACTAACAAGGATTGCTGCAAAAAGTCACTCCTGTCCGTTGCTGTATTGCTGTCCAGTCACTCTCCTCTGTGCAATGACTTATCTTCTGAGAACTTCAAGCTTCAGCTTGCCCCAACTTTTATCATGTCATGTTCTAAACTGTAGGTATACATTTTTAAAAGTGTTTTTTTTTCGTTGTTTTTTTTTTTTTTGTAGGATTTGTGATCTGTTAAACTGCTGCTACAAAACTGCAATTTTACCCTAAGGAATCAATAAAGCACTCTTTAATTCAACGTACTGTATTTTCTTGTTGTTAGGATGAAATGTGTATTCATAATCTAATCTCTCATCTATTAATTTAGGTTTTGTTGGAGGATTATTGCTGGTGACGTTTACCAAAACAGTAGCCAGATACAGTCGACTGTTTTTCTCAGTTTGTGGAATTGCAAAGTTTATTGTGCGATCCAAATCAATAATTCTTCTAAACAGGCCTATTTATGTTTTAAAATAGACAAAAAGCAGATATAACTTTGATTATGACAGAGATATTTTAAACCAACTTTAGCATTTAGCAGCAAGTCCCACATAATAATGCCTAAAATGCAGGTCAGACTATTTACACGTGTTTCTGCATACTGTCTTCAACACCATAGGAATATAATAAGCAATTTGAATACTTTTTTTCTTTTATTTATTTTAAATTAAGTGTGAATAAAACAAGTACCCCACTTTTTTGGAACCAACTCTGGTCCTCGTGAGCTACTGTCCTGCAGGTTTTAGATGTTACTGCGACACACCGGACTCACATTAATGGATCTCCAACAGCTTAAGTTCTACACAAGTTCGTAAATGATCCATCAGTGTGAGTCAGGTGTATCGCAGTACAAAAGCGTCTAAAATCTGCAGGACAGTAGCTCACGAGGACCAGAGTTGGAGATCCCTGCTTTAGTGACTCAAAATGGCTCAACACACTTGGTTTGTGTTTCTTCCCAAAATCCGTAATGTTTTTTTTGCATAGAAATGGAAACAAAGCATCATCACTAGAGGAGCCCTTAAAGTGTTTTACAGTCACATAACTACTTCTATTTAGCCAAAATATCCTTTATTTCATCCATGTGCATGTACATGAGGGGAGCAGTGAGATCCTACTGGCTGCAGAGATGTGGGTCAAACTCTGAAATAACTCTGAAAATGTCAAAATTCTTTTAACATAAGAATAATCATCTTTATTGTACAAACTGTGAGAAATGCCACAATATGAAAAGATGCAACGTTTTTCTCTTACATCAAAATGTTCTTTTAAATTTAATCGCACCATGTAGAGCAATTTCAACCACTCGTGTGCCAAACAAACAAACTTGGCATCTTTTTTTCAAGGGTTAGATTTTTTTAAAAGGACTATTGTAGGCAAAAAGCAAATCATCTGTAACCACCATTCAAAAATATATATTTTAAATCAAAAAGTCAATGTGACGAATAAAAACCAACCATTACAAACTGTACTGAACTCTTGGACCATAAGAATCTAATCTGAGGCGGTGAAAGCCGTCATCACTCCTTCTTTTTCTGCTTCTCTTTCTTCTCCTGCGCTTTCCGTTTCTGCCTGCCGAGCTGTCTGAAGTACAGTCTCTTGGGGTTCAGACCGTAGGCCTTCAGTCGCTGTCGACTGAAGTCCCGGCCGCCTATTTTCACCCCGATGGCTCCACCTGAACGCTTGTGCTTCTTCTTGGACCATTTTGGCCTCTCAGTCCTGTTCTTTACTTCATCAGGCTGATCTGCTGCCTCCTCTGTGGTAATCTGGGGTTCTTCTTCCTGTTTCATCCTCTTTTTCTTTGGAATCAGGAACTCCTCGGTCTCCTCTGCGCCGTCCTCTGCCTCCTGAAGAGCCTGACCGAGCGTCTCGTCCGTGGAGTCCATCGTGGCGGCTTCGTCCTCTCCTCCTCTGCTTTGCTTCTCGGCATTCTTCAGGCGATCTCGCCGCTTCTTCCCCACCTTGCTCTTAGCCTCGGCCGCGTCTTTATCTTCTCTGTGGGTTAAATTCAGATGAACATCGTCACATATTGCTGAAGCAGTGATGCATCGATCAGAAAAACAATGTGCTGTGCGTTACACTCACTCAGAATAAACAGATCTCAGGATTTCTTTCTTCTTCCTTTCATTCTGGGCCTTTATCTTGTAGTTCTTAAGGTCACTCATCTCTTCTTTGTCAGACCTGAAAGGACAAAAAACGATCAGTAACGAGTAACTTCACATGAAACATTCGAGCCGGTTTTCTAGCCGATACCTGAACATGCACGTCTTCTTCAGGGAGCACCAGCGGTTCAGCTCGCCGTCGTTGGCGTTTAAAATCTGAGGAGGAGAGAAGCAGTTTGTCGGTAGTTCATGGATCAGAGAGAGAGAGAAGCTACATTCAGCGCTGCTTCATCCGGTCACTGTGTTCTGCTCAGAGAGAAGATTTAAGTGGAGATCATTCCCTGGTCAGAGCTCTCCCCGGAGGGAAGCAATACCAGATCAGTCACCTCCAGGCTCATCACAGCAGCGTCACCAACCAACATCCAG